TGCCGAATAAAGGGGAATAATCACTTCTCTGGATCTGCTGGCAATGCTCCTCCTAATGCACCCTAATATGCCATTAGCCTTCTTAGCTACAAGGGTGCACAGTTCACTCATATCCTGCTTCTTGTCCACTGTCCTTTTCTGCAGAACTGCTGCTTAGCCAGTCGGTCCCCAGCCTGTAACAATGCTTGGGATTCTTCCATCCCAAATGCAGGGCTATGTACTTCTTTTTGTTGAACCTCATCAGATTTCTTTTGGCCTAATCATCCAATATATCTAGGTCACTCTGGACCCTATCCCTGCCATCCAACATATCTACCTCTCCCCTCATCCAGGTCATTAACAAAGATGTCAAAATGTTAGGCAGGAATGGACCTTGTGAGGTCATTGTGTCCAGTTTCGTGCACTGAGCCAGGACCAAGGGAACCTAGACAGTCCGACAGGGATTTGTGCCACCTGTTCTAAAGCCCTCCAGTGTGGGAGGGGTCCCACAGACTCCCTTAGAAGGCTGTTATAAGAACGGCCAGACTGGCTTAGACCAAAGGCCCATCCAGCCCAGTGTCCTGTCTGCCTACAGTGGCCAATGCCAGGTGTCCCAGAGGGAGTGAACAGAACAGGGAATCATCAAGCGATCCCTCTCTCATCACCTATTTCCAGCCTCTGACCTAGGCGAGGGACACCATTGCTACGTATCCTGGCTAATAGCCATTGATGGATCTAACCCCCATGAAGTTAGCTAGCTCTTTTTTGAACCCTGTTCCACGGCCTAACTAACCACAGAGTTAGAGTTTTTCCTAATAGCTCACCTGTCTCCCTTGCTGCAGATAAAGCCCAAAAAATATTACTTTTCTACTTTCAGAACAAGTGAGCACAGGCTTCTTTATAGAGGTCCTTAGCATATTTGAAGACTGTATTGATTTGTGTCCCCTCCCCCTCAGCCTTTTTTTTTCTCAAGATTAAATATGCCCAGGTTTTTTAACCTTTCCTTGTGAGTCAGATTTTCAAAACCTTTGCTCATTGTTGTTGCTCTCCTCTATTTGTCTACATCTTTGCTAATGGGACACCCAGCTGGCCACAGTTCTCCAGCTGAGTCCTCATCAGTGCTGCATAGAGCAGGACAGATGCTTCCCATGTTGCACATACAACACTTAGGAGACCCGAGTTCAAGCCCTGGTGAAGCTACAGGCGTTGGGCTAATTACTTAGAACCAACATTTAAAAAAAGTATTTAGGCACCTTGTAGAATTTTCAAAAGTCGGACTTGGTGCCTACAAGAAATGGTGGCTACAACAAATCAGGAAAGAGATCTTGGGAGTTATTGTGGATAGTTCTCTGAAAACGTCCACACACTATGCTGCGGTGGTCAAAAAGGCAAATACAATGTTAGGAATTATTAAGAAAAGGATAGAAAATAAGACACAGAATATCTTACTTCCCCTGTATTAAACTATGATACGCCCACATCTTGAGTACTGTGTACAGATGTGGTCTCCTCACTTCAAAAAAGATATTTTGGCCTTGGAAAGGGTTCAGAAAAGGGCAACTAAAATGGTTAGGAGTTTGGAACAGGTCCCATATGAGGAGATGCTAAAGCAACCGGGATTTTTCAGTTTGGAAAAGAGGAGACTGAGGGGGGATATGATAGAGGTATAAAGAATTATTCATTAGTTCCCATAATATAAGGACTAGAGGACACCAAATGAAATTAATGGGTAGCAAGTTTAAAACTAATAAGTGAAAGTTCTAATAAGCGAAAGTTCTTCTTCACACAGCGCATCGTCAACCTGTGGAACTCCTTGCCAGAGGAGGCTGTGAAGGCTAGAACTATAACAGAGTTTAAAGAGAAGCTAGATAAATTCATGGAGGTTAGGTCCATAAAAGGCTATTAGCCAGGGCGTAGGAATGGTGTCCCTGGCCTCTGTTTGTCAGAGGCTGGAGATGGATGGCACGAGACAAATCACTTGATCATTGTCTTCGGTCCACCCCCTCTGGGGCACTTGGTGCTGGCTACTGTTGGCAGACAGGCTACTGGGCTAGATGGACCTTTGGTCTGACCCAGTACGGCCATTCTTATGTTCTTATGATTTCAGAATAGCTTTGTAACAAAGAACAGATAAATCAATTTAGAATTCTACTATGAACCTTCATACTATATTTATTGGAACTGGCCTTCTCTTTACTTGAAAAGAGGACTCTTGCTTCCAGCTGTGATTTGACCGTTTCACATTCCAAACCCCATGGGAAGTGCACACTCAGCAGAATAAAAATAAAAATTAGATACTTTCTCATGCTGAGCTTCTGTGCAACAGATTTGATCCAAAGTGACCCAAGAGCACAGAAATACAGTACGTATTCATTATTCTTAGATAGCTCATGGCACTGGCTCTGAGTGTTGTTAAAAACAAAAAATCCCTCATTCACTTTTAAGCCTTAAGCAACACTCTCTTCCTCCTAACAGTAATGAAATACACGTTTGTTTACTACTAAAGCTTTCTGGGATGAACGAAATATGTGAATAATATAAAAGGCAAATTAATTGAAACACTAATTAAAGACCAACCTATAAAAACACCAAGTAGTCCTGTGGCACCTTAGAGACTAACAAAAATATATAAGATCATGAGGTTTCATGAGTAAGATCCACTTCATCAGATGAGTTGGAATGGAAATAACAGAGTCCAAGATTTATGTAACAGCAAAAGAAATACCTGTCTATTGTAGGATCCATGTTAATGACCCTAAGTAAGTGGGTTGGCCATGTCAAATTCCTAGTTAGCTTGATGTGTCCCATTTGATGTGAAAATACGGATGACAATGCAGAAGAAATTGGCTTTGTAGCATATTAACCAGCTAATGCCTTTATTCCAGTCTAGGGTAACAGTGACTGGTACAGTAGATGTGGACAGCTAGTTCTGAGGAAAAGAAAAGGTCTCAAGAGGTGGGGATGCTGTCAGCTTCGGTCAAGAGAAAGTGTATGTGGGGGGAGGAGCCAGGAAATGTTTTGTCTGCGGTGCTCTAAATCTTCCAGGAAGTTTTGAGAGGTACGATCTGGGTCCAGATCTCAGATTTGGAGTTCATCACATGGGGCCTTGCTTGTCACTCCAAAGGTAGCTGGATGGTGCCCCATCATACAGTCTCTGAGGAGCACATCTACATTGCATGTGAAGGTGTGACTGCATCCTGGATGTGTGTGCCTGGGCTAGCTTTACTCTAGCAAACTGGGATAACAAGGGGACTGCTGCTACAAGAGCATAGACTAGCTGCCTGAATCCATGGCAAGCTTGTCCTGGAGTAGCTAGCCAATGCTGAGGCTCATGCCACCCAGGGCCGGCTCTAGGCACCAGCAAATCAGGCAGGTGCTTGAGGCAGCACTTTGACGGTGCAGCACTTCAGGTAAGCAGCTGGTGCCGCCCCTGGCAACACCTAGCCCCACCCCGCCGATTTAAAGGGCCCTGGCCTGCAGCCCAATGTGCCCCAGAGCCTGCTGGTCATCCCTGTCTCCTCTCCTTCTCCTCCCCTCCCCCGGCAATGCCTAGCCCTGCCCTGCCCCGCCCTGCCGATTTAAAGGGCCGCGGGAGACGCTGCGGCTGCGCAGGCAACACTGGCACCATGTGCGCCTGGCCCTGGAGCCTGCTGGCCGGCCCTGTCTCCTAGTCCTGAGTCCTGCTTCTCCCCGGCAGCCTCTCCACTCCAAGCCATCAGCCACCCCTCTGCCTACATCGTATGGAAGTCCCAGGTAAAATGCCCCCTTTCCGCCTAGGGTAGCCAGGTGTCGAGTATTTTCACCTCCTGTTTGGTAAAAAAAAAAAAAAAAAAAAAAAAAAAAAAAAAAATGTCCGGTAAACAAAAATTGGAAAATACCGGACACCTGGCAAACACTCAGCCCACTGGCCCAGCCTCTGGCCTCTCCCCTCAGTCCCCAACACCCTCAGCCCCACGGAAGTCTGTTCCTAGTATATTTCTCTTGTTCATGTCTGTAGTAGAAGTAGAACCAAACAAGGATCTCTCTCTTTCTCTCTCTCTGTCTCTCTCACACACACACAATTAACTGTTCTACACTCTTCAAAGAACCACACTTGCTGTTTCATAGATATTTCTTTAAAGAATTAAACTTCGTTGATCTGGGTAAACTTTCATGTTTGATGTCTCTAAGGCAAGCTTCATTCCATATATAGTTGTATTGGGCACATACAACTCTCCACTCCTTCTAACACCTCATAAACTTGAATATATAATGGTTACTAACAAGATGGACACACAAGAATAATGTGCATATGCACACCCACTGGTCTCAGTTTATCTGATAACATAGATGTGTTAGAACCGCATAAGGAGCCACTGAATTCCAAAACAAATCTAGTTTAATAATACAAATATTTATTGATTAAGTTTAGATGTCTTATGTGCTATAGTTATCATAATTGGTTGACAAGTATGTTAAAACAGAGTGGTATTGTTAGCTGATTGTAATTGGTCTGAAGATTGATTAAGGATAGCCATAAACTACTTGAGTTTTAGATGTGGTACAAGTTCTCCCTTCTATTTTTGGTACTTAGTTTATATTTCCTTAACTATTTGTGTTAATAGTTTTTCATGCATTCAAACCACAATTTAAAAGTAGCCTATTTCTATAACAATAAAGTAGAGATTTAAGGTACATTTCCCACTCTTGAAAAAGAACTTTGTGTGAGCTGGAAATCTTGTGTCTTTCACCAAAACAAAACAAAAAAAATTGCAAAGTGCAAATGTGTAAAAGCAAACAAAAAGGGGGGGAGGGGCAGCCAAACATTTTTTTGGGGGGGCAGCAAAAACCTAGAGCCAGCCCTGATGCCACCACATGCGTTCTCTTTTCACCTGCAGTGGAGATGTACCTTTGAGGCCAACCTGTTATCTAGACTAGCTTGTCAAGAGCTCTGTTCTCCAAGAGGAGAGGACTTGCAATGACTTTCCAAGACAACTGATTTCATTGCTACCTGACTGGCTGCTTTTCTTTTCACTTTACAGACACTTTTGCCAGCAAAGTGGCAGCTACTCAGGATCAATATGCTGATGCCTCCATCGGGAACGTCACTGGGAGCAATGCCGTGAATGTTTTCCTGGGGATCGGCGTGGCCTGGTCCATTGCCGCCATCTACCATGCAGCAAACGGGGAGGTGTTCCGTGTCTCCCCTGGCACCTTGGCTTTCTCTGTCACCCTCTTCACCATTTTTGCTTTTATAAATGTGGGCGTCCTGCTTTATCGGCGGAGACCTGAGATTGGAGGTGAGCTGGGCGGGCCACGGACTGCCAAGCTTCTGACATCATCCCTGTTTGTGCTCCTTTGGCTCTTGTACATATTGTTCTCATCTCTGGAAGCCTACTGCCACATAAAGGGCTTCTAAAGGAACCCTCAGAGATAGTAAATATATTGCTAGAGATCTATATGTATCTATATAGAAAGCTATATAGGTATAGATAGAGATACAACATTGTGTATAATGAACAGAGGAGAAAGAAAAGACATTTGCCATGTTCACTTACCTGCTGATGGAATGCAGCTTGCAGCATTCTTTGTACTAGGTAGGAGTAAGAACTCAGCAAGATTCCTAACCAGGGGTTGCAGCATATTAATGAAGGCACGGATGCAGAGCCATCTTTGCAACACTACCTACAAGAGCATATGATACTGACTTTATTGTTGCTCCCATTGTGCCCCCCAGGGAGGATTGATCTGAATGTAATCTGGGCTTTCCAGTAATGACGGAGCCAGAATAGCTGTTAAGAAGTCAAGTTGTGGAGGGAAGGTGAGATACAGGGGACTTCATGACTTTCTTACAAAAATCTATTGGCCTTCATATACTGAGGACATGCAGATCTGTCCCCTCTGAAAACAAGTCTGGACTGAGGAAGAAAGTTCAGGGATTCAAGAGCTTTCTTCCAATAGGATGGAAACCCCACTGCTGTTCTTGCTTGATGCCCCATTTATTATTCAGTTGTTAGAGTGTTGACCTGTTGAGAGTCACAAGAACAGTGTGAGCTTTTTCCTTAATTTTTTGGCTGTGTTATGATCAGCATGCCGTCCCCCCCACACCTTATCAACAAAATTAGTGAGCCTGCCCTCCCTACCCAACCCATGGTGTGCCTTGCAGGCATCTGCCCAAACCCTTTGTCTCAAGTCTCTATTTTCATTCTGACAATCTTGTGAGTTTTACTTTTGTTGCCACCCATTCCCTGCCCAGCCTCTAGTGCATTGCTCTTGTCTCCTATTCCTGTTTAGGAATGCTGTTGTGGTACTTGTAACACTTTGCATGAATGAAGTAACCCATATTTGTATATAGCATTGTATAGCAATAGTCCATTCAGCAATGTGGATCAGATGCTGAAGAAGTGAGTGAGTTTTCTTTTCACTCAGGTTTGGGTTTGGTTTTTTTTCTCAATGGGATAAGGGAAAGTGGCTAACCTTTTAGCACTCTACACAGAGGTTTTTAAGAAGCAATAACAAAGAATTGTGCAGCTATAGATGCTAATGGGAAGAATCTGTGCAAAATGTGTTATATATGCTTATAGAGTGAAATCCTGGCTCTATTAAGTCAATGGCAAAATTCCCATTGACTTCAGAGGGGCAGGGATTTACCCATATGGGATGGTCCAGGACTCACTGATGTCAATACAAATACTTTCATTGACTTTTGTAGGTTCTGCATCAGGTCTATAAAGTTTAAAATATCATTTGAAGGGCCAGAGCCTGCCACCTTTGCTCATGCGGTGCAGCACCTGGTGCTGGACACTGTCGGTAGACAGGATACTGGGTTAGATGGACCTTTGGTCTGACCCAGTATGGCTGTTCTTATGTTCTTATGTTCTAACTTTGCCCCACGACTAGTTGCTTTGAACACAGTCAGGTTAAGTACCAGTCATCCAGGGCATGAGTGGCAGCCTCAGTCCCTGAATAAACAAGCCATGCCTGGGTTGTGTAAGCATCAGTTTTTCCCAGTGCCTATTTTACATCTTCTCTGGCTGCATTAGATAGCAGATATCTTTGGTGTTTGCAAGAAGCAGCTGTAGAACCCCCAGGCTCAATTTCTGTTCTCCTGGTCACCATCTCTCATGGGTAGCTTCAGCCCTAACATTAATGTGTGAACATTAAGCCAAAGGCGATTGACAGGACTTTTCAACTGCATCTCCTCTGGGGCAGCTTGAGGACTGAAGAAGTCAATGATGAGGTTGGAGGAATGTAACTTCTCCAAGATCCCAATGGTCAAAGCATTCCCACCAGATATCAGGGTGAATCTTGCATTGTCCAGCAGCAATTGCATTTAACACTAGACATTACTATCCTGGGGTGCACCAACAGTGTGCTCGGCTCTGTACAGTGCATGGGTGGCAAGACAGTCCCCACCCTGGCGGTGTTGTGGTGTCAAAAGCAGGCATTATCAGCGTCCCTAGAGGAAGAAGCCATGCTAGCTGATCTGGTTTTTCCTTCATTATCTTGCACTGTGTGACTCTTTCATTTTCCATGTGTGTTCCCCTTGGAAGCAATGGCTCTGTAGAAGGGATTGGAACCAGGAGAAGGTGGGGTCTGACGCATTGGGACTGAGGGGGCATTTTATGCATACTTGGCCTCAGGGAAGGAGCTGTTGGAAGAAATGGAGGGAGGGGAGCCATGGCTGGCAGTGCTCGCAGAGCAAAAGGGTCAGTGGGGCTGCAAGGGGGTAGTCCGGATCCCAGAGCTAGGCCAAGACCGAGTTCAGCAGAGCCCTGAAGCTGAGGACAGGAAGGTCTGAATTCATGACAATGGGTAAGGAACGGTGAATTCAGGACAAGGCAGAGGGTATCAGGTGGGATGCCAGCCACATATTGAGTTTGAATCTTAGGCCCTGATCCTGCAAAGGGATCTGCCCACATGGACTCTCAACCCATAGGCTGTCATATGAGGCATGGTCATTTAGCAGGAGAATCTGCTATGCCAGTCCATGGGTACACAGTGTTGGAGCTGGGGAGTCTAAGACCCTCCCTTGGGCTGCATGAGTCAGGGTCCTGAAGAATTGCTGTCCCTTTGCTCTGAGAAGCACAGGCACACCCCCTCCAGGAGTGCACAGTGCCCCTAAGGGAGCAGGAAGGAGGCAGGTGATGGCTTTACCTCCTAACCCCACATATGTCTGATGGTATCATCCCTCGGTATTAAAGTGTCCAGGCAGGACCAGTCCCAGCCCTTGTGACTGAGCACACCACACAGGTGCATTCAAGAGCACGGGTCATTTCTGCACAGAGCCGATGACAATTTCATGGCCCATGTCACCACTCTGTAAGAGCCCGACATTTATATTTACGCTGAGAGGTCACCTGCACGAGTCACCCCATGGATTTCAGTGGGCAGTGCTGTGCAGCAAGAGGCGACTAGCATGACCAATGAGAAGCAAGAAGAAGTTTGGGATGACAACCATGGTCTTAGCGGCCTTTCTACCTTCCATTTGATTCCCCTAAGCTCAACATAGTAAAGATACTTTGATACAGTCATATTTAAAAACAAATGCTTCTATACAACTGGCTCAAATCCTTAGCTGATGCGAATCGGCATCTCCATGGGCCCCCAAGGAGTGATGTCCATTCACATCAGAGGAGAAACTTTCCTTTTACATTATGAATGAAGTATCTAAGAGGGAAACTGCAGGGATACTACTTGCATTAGCATTACTAGATTTTTCAATTCCTTTTCC